CTATCTAGTGATAAAAGAGGTGTGTTAAAGTCATCAAAATTATTGTGTTGTGGTCTATTTGGCTTGAACTTGAGAAGAGTTTGTTTGATGAGCATAGAGGCTCCATTTTGGGGGGCATATATATTTATAATTGTTAAGTCTTGTTGGTGTATGGTTCTCTTGAGCAGTATGTTGTGTCCTTCTTTATCCTTTTTGATTGACTTTAGTTTGAAGTCTACTTTATTTGATATGGGGGTGGAAACCCCTGCTTGCTTCCACAGTCCATGGGAGTGATGATTTTTCCTAACTCTTCACCTTCAATGTGTGGATATCTTTTCCTATGAGATGTGTCTCTTGAAGGCAGCATATTGTTGGGTCTTTTTTTATTTTTATTTTTTTAATCCAATCTGCTAGACTATGTCTTTTGATTAGTGAGTTTAGGTCACTAACATTCAGGGTTATTATTGAGACATGATTTGTTTATTTTTGGTATTTAATGTGACTTGATTTCACCTCTGATTAGATTTTACTTTAGTATAATACCTCTCTCTGCTGATTTTCACTATTGTTTTTCATTTCCTCTTCTTGGAATATTTTGCTGAGGATGTTCTGTAGAGCAGGCTTTCTAGTTGTAAATTCTTTTAACTTTTGTTTATCATGGAAGGTTTTTGTTTCATCATCACATCTAAAGCTTAGTTTTTCTGGATATAAGATTCTTGGTTGGTATCCATTTCTTTCAGAGCTTGGTATATGTTTTTCCATTATCTCCTGGCTTTGAGGGTCTGGGTTGAAAAATCTGCTGAGATACAAATTGGTCTCCCCCTATATGTGATCTGATTCCTCTCTCTTGAGGCTTTTAAGATTCTATCCTTATTCTGTATGCTAGGCATTTTCATTATAATGTGCCTTGGTGTAGATCTGTTGTAATTTTGTATATTTGGTGTCCTGTAAGCCTCTTGTATTTGGTTTTCCAATTTGTTCTTCATGCTTGGGAAATTTTCTGATATTATCTCATTGAAGAGATTGTGCATTCCTTTGGTTTGAAACTCTGTGCCTTCCTCTACCCAAATGACTCCTAAATTTGGTCTTTTGATGCTGTCCCATAATTCTTGTGTGTTCTGTTCATGGTTTCTTACTATCTTCACTGAGTGATCTGCTTTATTTTCCAGATTGTATGCTTTGTCTTCATTATCTGACATTCTTTCTTCCAAGTGATCTCATCTGTTGGTTATGCTTTCTATTGAGTTTTTAATTTGATTTATTGTATCCTTCATTTCAAGGATTTCTGACTTTTTTTTTTAGAGTCTCTATCTCTCTCTTGAAGTATCTTTTGCTACCTGTGTTTGTTCTCTTATCTCTTTGTTGGAGTGATCATTTTTTGCCTGTATTTGTTCATTTAGGTCATTCTTTAATTTACAGATCATTTTAATTATGAACCTTATGAACTCCTTCTCTGACATTTCATCAATTTTGCTGTCCATGGGTTCTGTTAGTATAGTGTCCTGGTTTGTTTGGGGAACTTTCCTCCCTTGTTTTTTCATGTTGTCTATGTGTCTTCCTTTCTTGCAGTGTGGATCTGAGATGTTACAGTTCTTCCCTATATTCTTGTAGTATCCATGCAGATTGTCTGTACCTCACCTTGATGTTGGGCTTCCAGACCCTGCTGGTGTCCCTCAGTATATGCTACTGCATCTAAGGTTGGTGGTGGCAATAGCAGAGGTAACTCGAGATAATAGTTAAGGTGCCGAAGATGAAAGCTATGTCTTACAGAGATGGGGCTGTAAGAGTGGGCCTCACACTCCCTTTGGGATGCCTGCTCTGAGATGCAGCTGCTTATAGACCCTGTCTGTTGTCAAAAAGTTAGGGGCTACTGTGTGGGGTGGGAAGGGCTATGTCGATGACTGCAGTGTCTCAAAATGGAAGTGGGTTAGGCTTAAGCTCCCAGGTGGGAGGGGGTTGAACTCCGACCTACCCTGGACATGGTTCCTGCCCAAGTCGGTGTGGACAGATGTGGGTGGGACCTATTCCTGAAGTAGTCTTCTGTTCTGAAGAGGCAGACCTGTGCTGGAAGGTGGGCTCTGGTGGGTGTGGGTGGATCTGAGCCACAGGGTTTGACCTCCCTAGGTAGTCTGCTGGTCAGAAGAGGTGGTCCTGTGCCAGAGGTGAGGCTCTGGCAGGTGTCTACCCCGCTGGTGGAGGTGTCTCTATTTTCATTTCTAACATTTTGCATGATTTTTTAATGATCTTTACTCTTGCCTCACATTACTGACAACGTCTATGTATATTCGAAGTTATCTGTTAAGCTTCTTTTAATTATTGGTGTACTGCTTCCCATGGTATATGTTAAACTTTTCTTTCTGTTCCAGGGGATGTAATTTATCTTAGATCATGCTCCCCAAAGGTGATCAGTGGCCTTGTGTGGACAAATGGTTAAGACCAGGCTCTGGTTTGCATACCTCCCAGTGAATTTAAGGAAAGAAAATGAGACCTAGGCTGTAGAGCTTCCGACATTACAAAATCAGTTTTGACCATCACCAGTTGTTGTCACTGTACTAGGCCAGTCCTAAAGTCAGGAATCCACTCCTGCTACCCTTAAACTCTTTGAAAGAGGCATCACTGAGGGAAGGCACTCTCTTGGTGTTTCACATCCACTGATGCTGACAATTGCTGGAGGAAAAGTTGAGCAGAGAAGCCCAAGGGGACAGCATGCACCCATTGCCACCAGTTTCTTATCCTGGGGGGACTGCTGTGCTGGCTGATGTTACTGTGTTGACAACAGATGGCTGATCAGTGAATGCCAGTTTCTGTGGCTCTGGGGCAAGTCATGATCTTCCCAAGGCAATGTGAAGCAAGGCCTGGAGCAAATTTAAAAGGTCTCTCTCAACCTATTCTCTCTTGACTGCATTTGAACCTTTCTATCCTCGAGGTGCTGCTCACCCGTCACACCAGTTCACTAAAGCCTTCATACCCATCTACTGAAGCCTTTGGGTTTCTCACAGCTGTTTTGTCTTGGTTTTGTCTTTGTTTGTTTCTTTGATAGGTCATTGGATTCATGCTTTTCTTTCCCTTCTGGATTTTCCCCAGAATAGAAAAGACCTAGACCCTTGCTGAGACCCCCCATAATTTGACCCCAACATCCTAGAGACTTTATAAATGTTGCCCTTAATCCTCACAATTCTGAAAACAAATTATCATTATCCCCATTTTAGAGAAGAGGAAATTGAATCTCAACAAAATGATTTTTCCAAAGTCACATGGGTAGGAAATGTAGTGGTGCCAGAATTTGAAAATATATCAATCTTCTATCAAAACCAAAATGGTTCAATTAAACCCAAAAATGGTTTAATCCATTAACCTTATATGATTAATGCTTAAATTTAGAATTGCCTTATTTTATTCAAGAAGTTATCAAACGAGGCCCCAGAAAACATTAATGTTCTGTGAGCTGAAACTTGTTATTCATTCAAAAAAATGGTAGTCCTTTCTCAATTTGCAGAAAAACAATATGAATTATGGATAGGATTTTCTCAGTGTTGTGGTTATTAAATTTTTAGCACCTGCTGTTCTTTGTGTGCTAGCAAGTTCTAAAAGAAAGGTAATGACTAGGTTAAAAAAAACAAGTAAAACAAACAAAACAAAAAATTCGTTTTGAGCAGCTGATTTCAATTAGAAATCAAGAAAACGTTTATCAGTTAACTTTTGTTTCCTGCTAACTGGGGAAAGATTGCCATTCATATCATGTAATGTATTTATACATTTGATGTATAAATATTTGAATACTCATCATTCATGCTAGTAAAATTAACTTATGTCTATATTTGAATATAAAATTGAATTCATGAATGGTTAATAAATGTGAATTTACTAATATAATATTCTCTCATATGTAAAGATGTAATTAAAAATAGATTTTACTTTATTTTTCATAGATATATATGCATATAGTACAGAATTCAAAGAATACAAAGGTCAGTGAAAAGTGAATCTACCTCTCTCCACTTCTGTCCTTCAGTAACCCAAGTCTTCCTTCTACAGTAGTCTTTGATATCAGTTTCTTATATATCATTCCACAGATATGCTAATATGTGTAAACTCTTAGAAACGCTTCCTCACAGCCTATTCTCTTTTGACAGAATATGACCTTTCCTATCCTCCAGCCCAAACTGCTGCTCATATTTCATACTAGTTCATATTTTTTAAAAGATTAATTTTTTCCTTGACAGAATTACTACATTAAACTTTTGTGATTGTCAGCAGCCACTGGAAATCGCTCTGATTCTTTAAATAACTTTGCCTGCTAAAAATAAAACTAAAATGAGTTTTTAAAGTATTTAAAATGTTAAACATATGTGAAGTAGAGACCCACAAAATGAATATATACTCATCATCTTGATTTAAAGATACTTAAAAATGATTTCTAAAGTGTCTTATGCTCTTGCAAATATTCAGAGTCTCCGTCATTGGGTGAAATAAAAAGGATTGTGTATTCAGCTACAAGTGCAGCAGCCCCAGGGTCTTCCGGTGCATTCCGTGAAGATAGCTGGGAGGAACTTGAGTATGGAATGCCTTGTGTGTCACCCTAGCCACTTGGTCCCGACTACAGATTCAGCATAAAATTTTTCATACTCTTTCTAATAGTAAAAAATAATTTGACAAATAAGTTAGACTTAAGTTTTCTCTAAAACTTATTGCTTTCTGTGTAAAAGAGCATATCTAACAGATTTTTAAGACCAATAGTTTTTTTAATATGATTGTATTAGTATTAATATTAGATGTAAAAATTAATAATTTCACATGTGGGGCAAATTTGGTTGTTTTGCTTTGGTCCTTTTCATGGAAAAATCATGGTGAATCCATTATATTTATTGTGTAGATACGGGTAAGTAACCTTGAATACTTAGAGAATATATCATTCTGTGGGCATTTTTATAAAGCTTGGATACTATGAATACTGATTATAATTCTATAGACAAATCTAATTTTTATTTTGACTTCCCAAAAAACTCTATTCTTTTTCTTAGTTCCACTTGCCTCTCCAGATGCATCAGCAGAACTTCAAAACAAGTTTACAGAATACATGTCTTTTATACACCAATATGATTCCAGGAAAACTCCCAATGAGCCCATCCGGGGAAAGGTAAGACTTTATTTAGAATTAGTTATTTAATACATTAACAGGTGTGATGGCCAGCATCTCATTGGGGGGTTCTTCTTCCTGCTGAGGAGAATGTAAGCCACCCTAAAACTTAAAAGTCTAATACTTAATGAATAACAAAACACAAATATTCAGAAATATATTTACGATATAGTTTGATCTAGTCCACATGGGTTCTGGAGCTAGAGAGACAAAAGATGGCTCCAGTGGTTTATTTAAGGGGGTGCATTAAAGGCAAGGATAAGGTTTCAAGGGTGGAGTTTTGCCTTGAGATGTCTTGCAGTCAGCAGGTTGATCGACATCTTGGCAGGTCACACCCATCTCAGGTGCCGTGGGAGCCATGGCAGAGTGGAACAGAAATTCACACTGTCCCTGAGCAATTGACCAGAGAAAATGTCCACTGGTCATTCCCAGACACCAGATGTTTCCATTCACTAGGCTTCCATGGGCAGTGACCCACATGCAACCCATGGACAGCTCATGACAATACATTAAAGCAGAATAGATTTATGGTAGAATATAAAGCCTTTGGAAGTCATAATCATCTTTCTAAAAGGTTATTTAAACAAACTAACCTAGTTGTTAGTAGGATAGAATCCCAACCACATGCATAGTAAAAAGCAAGGAATGATGTCATAATTTGGAATCATAGTTTGGGAATTTAATTTATTTAAATAATTAAAATTATTTGCTTAAGATAATATCAAAGCAGTTAATAAACAATTTTTGATATTCTTAATGTGCATGTGGGGCAGGGGGATGCAAATCAGGTTATAAATCCAGATAGAAATGTAATAGTGAGTAGTTGGATTTTTTTCAACTACAGATGTTTGCTTTTATATTTCATTATAAGTAAACCTTTTGTTGGAACTAATAGACATTTGGGACATGATCATAAATTCTTAGATCTATGAACTGTTTCTGTTGTATCCATAGTAACCTATACAACAAGAAATAATATTTGATATGAATAGCCTTAAACAATCCAAATGACAGAAAAGTTGAGAAATGGGAGATAATGAAATATTTCTTCTTTGACTTTCTACTGCTTTTTCCTTCCTGCTCATTTTCTGGCACACCCTATTTTGTAATTTATTTACAAGTTTAGCCAATAAATATTATGGTGATGTCTTTAGTTTTGGACGAAGGAGACAGCCAATGAAGAAGCAGAGAAGTAAGTGCCTGCCTCACCAGGACTTGACCTAACCAACAAACTCAGCTGCGTCTTCCGGTGATTTGTGTTCCCCTGTTAATGTCAACTTTGTTTTCCTTTCCAGAGACTTGGAACTTTTGTGCAGAGAGAGATAAAACCAGGGAGTAGGCCAATAGTTCCTAAGGGAACAGAGGTATTACTGAATGCTCCGGGGCGGTGTTCATCAGAACAGCCCAAAAAAAACAGAGAAAGGAAATCCAGCGGGAAGCAGAATGATCTCACCAGGTCTCTGCCAACAAAATTCCCAAGAGCTGTTAGAGACTTAAAACTCACTTATCAGAAACAGACGTCGGACAGGCAGCCAAGGCATGCCCCAGAAGCCCTGAGAGGAGAGAAGACGCAACTATAGGACATTCTCTTCTCACCAGGCCAAAGCCTTTAAAGCCACCAATAAAAAATCAGGATAAGTTGCCTTCTTTAGATAAAAACATAATCACTGGAACGTAGAGAAATTTCGCAATTATCATGCAGGCCCTGGTGCCTCAGAACATATAGTTTACATAAATAGGAAAAAGAAAAAAAAAAAGACAAAATACCTCCAAATGTTAAGAGTGAACTCCATAAGTGACAGATTATGAGACATTATTTCTATCACATTATTTATAAACAAAAAAACTTTGTTTTGTACAAAATTAATGTTATTAAATAATATAAAATTGTTAAAGGAGAGGCCCTATGAGACATTCATTAGTTATAGCTCTAGAATCAAAACGAACTGGGGTTGGATATTGGTTCCACTTCATAGGAGCTGTGTAACCTAGAATAAATTACTTAACCTCTCTAGACTTCGGTTTTCTCATCTGTAACATGAAGAAAATAGCAATTTCCTAAAATTGTTGAGCATGAGATAGTAATGTATGTTGATCAAAACGTGGTCCCGTAATCACATTATTACTATTACAAAATTAAAATTTCAACTTAAGGTTAATGTAAATTATAAATTTAAATTTTCCTATAAATTTAAGTTTTCCTCCTTTTTCTAAACTTAGAACTCCTATGTGTTTCACAATTAAGAGTGTGAACAATCTAAAAACATTTCTGCCAGTACAAGATATACACATACAAACACACCCTGCCTTCTTTATAGATTACATGGGTACTTAGGATATAAAAATATTTCCTAAATTGTTTTCTATTTTACATAGATCATTTCTAACACTAATTAAGCCTTTAATTTTTGGCTGAGTTTGGTAAGGATGAACTCTACCAGCTATTCTAATTTGGTGTATTTGATGTGCCATAGTGTATCCACTATATGTTGTGTTACATATGAATAGAAGTGGGTGAACTATTGCTCTGCTATAACGAGTATTTCTGGATTTCCATTGGATGCTTCTCACTATTATCTGCAGTACTGAAAAAGACTAGCTTTTTCTTTATCCCTTTATCCTCTTTCCACTAAAGAAACTTTAGTAGACTGCAAAAGAATGAGTGCCATCAGGATGTATTTGTGTGTTGGGGACTTCTGGATCTTACAACATGGCAAACTAAGACTAATGGTGAATCCCTTCTATTACAAACACCTTGAAATCCTGAATAAAAGGTTTGGATAACAAACAAATATATAGCCAAACTCATACAACAGTAAAACTTTCATATTCCAAAAGAGTGAATTTGCTCATTTCTGTGTCAATATATATCCTGAAGCTCTTTCCTTGTCAATACATGCATACTACCTTCTTATGTTAATAGATTTCCAACCTTCGTGGTACAGATGTACTGCTATATAACTGCAATAATAATAATGAAAGCTTTGATGTGGGAAGAAGGGAAGGGAAGGTAAACAGTCTGGGAAAAGGTCTTAAGGGCTAGGAATTTAATTTTTTTTAAATATTTGTTTTTTAGTTGTAGGTGGACACAATAACCTTTATTTTATTTTTATGTGGTGCCGAGGATTGAACCCAGTGTCTCATGCGTGCTAGGTGAACGCTCTACCACTGAGCCACAACCCAGCCCGGGACTTAAATTTTAATCCACATTTGAACAGGGATAGAACCTTATGGTTTCCAAGGTAGAGAGAGAGTTGAAGCATGTGTGAAGCGAGACTCTTGAACAACTGACCTGTCAATACAAGGCAGGCTCCATTCCACAAGACAGCAAGAAAGTTTACCTCTACCTGAAGCTATAGATAGTGAGAAAGTAAAACCCTGTTTATGCCACATTCCAGTTTGCAATATGAATTTACATGTAGGATTTCTCATAGTACACAAAATTAACATAAAAATCCTGCTAGTGCTATCTCTGAGGTACCCGACAAAAGCAAATACAAATTCCCCTAGAGAGATATTTCTGTGATTCTCAGGAAAAAAAAAATCTCCACTAAAAATAAGGTCACAATCAAAAATAACAAATCATACAAAGAAGAAAAGCAAACAGAGCAAGAGTCTTCAGTGCACAGAATGATTCAAACTTCAGAACCGGAGATAAGAGAATCAAAGCACTTTGGAATAGAAGATCCATCCTCCCTACCCACCCTGCTACCCCAACACTCTCCACCTCTCCTTATCCACTGACTCTTAGCTTCAGCTGTCAGACGTCCCCTCCCAGTAGGCGTCTCTGCCCATATGTTGGGCTTTTGTTTTCTTCAGTTTGATTGTCCCAACATTTGTTCTCTTGTAATATATTTCAGAATTTACTTAAAATCTACTCTTTTTGGTCATAAGTTTCTTGGTTTTCTAATTTTATTAAAATGGATTTTATTATCTGTATTTATCTACAGGCATTTTTATGAGATTTAGGGGGCACCAAGCAGCAAATGTGTATGTTCAGTCAGCCATCATGAGTCAATCTCTAATTCTCTATTAAGTAAATTATATGCAAACTTAATTAAGTTTAACCATTAGTAAATATCACAGTCTCTGCAGTGGACCTCCAGGTTGACTAATACTTATCATTGAGGACTGACAGAGTCTTTCTGTCCTAGAGAATGCATTAGCGATAGGAGGAGGACATGGAGTCAAACAGCCCTGTCAGTGAGCTACTATCATAGCCTTGGTTGGTTCTCAAACTTTTCAAATATGAGGACATCTTTTCTAATATTTTTTTAAATATTTTTTTTAGTTGTAGATGGACACAATCCCTTTATTTTGTTTACTTTTATGTGGTGCAGGGGATTGAACCCAGTGCCTCATGCATCCTAGGCAAGTGCTCTACCACTGAGCCACAATCCCATCCCTAATACTTTTTTTTTTTTTATTAATTGTGCCAGGGATTGAACCCAGGAGCACTTAACCTCTGAGCCACATCCCTATTCCTTTTAAAAATATGTTTTCTTATTTTAATACAGGGCCTCACTAAGTTGCTTAGGGCCTTGCTAAGTTGATGAGGCTGGCTGTGAACTCACAATCCTCTTGCCTCAGCCTCCCAAGCTGCTGGGGTTACAGGTGTGTACCACTGCACCCAGGAAGAATATCTTTTCTTTTTTCTTTATTTTTGCTCTTTTTTTGTTAATTTTTTAAAATTTATATATGACAGTGGAAAGCATTACAATTCATATTACACATATAGAGCACGTTTTTTCATATCTCTGGTTGTATACAAAATATATTCACACCAATTCGTGTCTTCATACATGTAGTTTGGATAATGATGACCATCACATTCCACCATAATTTCTAACCCCATGCCCCCTCATTCCCCTCTCACCCCTCTGCCCTATCTAGAGTTCTTCTATTCTACCCATGCTCCCCCTCCCTACCACACTATGAATCAGCCTCCTTAAATCAGAGAAAACATTCAGCATTTATTTTGGGGGATTGGATAACTTCACTTAACATTATCTCCTCCAACTCCATCTATTTACCTGCAAATGCCATGATTTTATTCTCTTTTATTGCTGAGTAATATTCCATTGTGTATAAATGCCACTTTACATGAAAAAATGTTCAGCATCGCTGGCAATTAGAGAAATGCAAATCAAAACTACTCTAAGATTTCAACTCACTCCAGTCAGAATGGCGGACATTTTGAAGACAAGTGTTGGCGAGGATGTGGGAAAAAAGGTACACTCATACACTGTTGGTGGGACTGCAAATTGGTGCAGCAAAGAACATCTTTTCTATATTAAAAAATGCTTCTGGCTCCTCACAAAATAGTAATTGAATTTTCAATATCCATAGTTTGAGAAAATGCATAATAACAAAATGCAGTGATTACTGCCATGTTCAATTCTCTGTTTTGTTTTTTTTAACTGTGAAGGGTGTTTCTGTCCAAAATGAATTCCATAGTCTATATTAAAGTCATAACTGCCTGTCAATACAAATAATGCTCTTAATTTCACAAGAATTTGAATGTCTCCGTGTAATTCCCTCATCAAGTATTTTCATAGAATGATAGCTTTTACAAGGATATAGGATTTCTTCCGAATTATCAAAAAACCAAAAAACAAACCAAGTCCATATAATTTAGTATTTTAAAACACCTTAGTGAATGTATTAATGCTTTTCAACCCTAACAGTGCTATTAATAATAACAAAAATTTGTGTAATATGGTTTAAGTGTTATGTTCAAATTTATTAACTCATTTGATCCTTAAAATAAATCCTATAAAGCAGGGGAAATAATAGCATTCCAATTTTACAGCTAATAATAAGCTCAGAGAACATAAATGATTTCTCCAACTGTATAGTTAACAGAGCTACGACCAGAACCAGAGTTTCTCAATGCCCAGTCTAGTTCATTAACTCACAGATGTCAACCCACAGGAAAATGCTAGCCCATTACAAATGAAAATACAAGGTCAATGCAAGAAGTACCAAAACAAATATTTTCAATATTTTTATTGAGAGACTAATTGTACTGCTTTAGGGGATTTTAAATGTTCTGTTGGACTTATTATCACTATGATGGACTAAATGAATGTGGGGAAAACCCATCATTCCTAACAGATAAATAAATACTGTATAAAATATAACAAAAACATTAAAATGTATACAGCTAAATACTAAAACAAATCCCTCAGGTCAGAAGTGAAAAACAAACAAACAAAAAAAACACTGATCAAAAAGTGAGTCTAGGCACCTGGCACAGTGACACACCTGTAATCCCAGCGGCTCTGGAGGCTGAGATAGGAGGATCTTGAGCCAGCCTCAGCAAGGGCGAAGGGCTAAGCAACTCAGTGAGACCCTGTCTGTAAATAAAATACAAAATAGGGCTGGGGGTGTGACTCATTGGTCAAGTGCCCCTGAGTTCAATCCCTGGTACCAAACAAAAAAAAAAAAAAAAAAAGGGAAGGTAGGGGCTGGAGTTATGGGTAGAGAGCTCTACT